CCGCTCAGCCTCGGCCCCTTGACCCTCACAGGATAGCGAGGCTGCGGCAGGAGGAACGGGAGCAGGAGCAGCGGCAGGCGTTGGAGCAGGCCCGCAAGGCCGAAGAGATGCAGGCCTCGGTGCAGCGCAAGGAACGGGAAGTGCTGCAGCTGCAGGTGGGCAACGCCTCCGGAGGGTGGGACTCCAGTTGGGTTCGCGGCTTGCGGGGCACTGGGAATTCTGGGTACCGCGACGCGGGCGCTGGCTATGTGCAGAGACTTAGAGTTGGCAGATCAGGATTTGGGAGAGGAGGGAGAGTGCCAGTCAGGCGCAAAGACCCGGAGGTGAGCAGAGTAATTGGACAGTGTTCAGGTGCCTAGCAGGTCTGTGGGAGGGACCCTGTGTTCCACAAAGAGGTTGTATTTTGCATAACAGGTGATGAAGCCGTGAAGGGTTAAATATTTCACGGCTGGGATTAGCAAGTGTGTGACTTAAAAGCAGGGAGACCACTAGGAGTAATGCAGTGAGAATGGATGAGGCTTGATTTAAAGTAATATAAGGGTAGCTAGGAGCGGTGGTTCACACCTGTAATCCCAGTACTATAGGAGGCCTAAGCGGGCGTATCACTTGAGGTCAAGAGTTTGAGTCCAGCCTGGCCAACATGGTGAAGCCCCGTCTCTCCTAAAAATACAAAAATTAGCCAGGCGTCGTGGTGTGCGCCTGTAATCCCAGCTACTGGGGAGGCTGAGGCATGAGAATCGCTTGAACCCAGGAGGCGGCGGTTGCAGTGAGCCGAGATGGAGCCACTGCATTCCATCCCGGGCGACAGTGAGACTCCGTCTCAAAAAAATAAATAAAGTAATAAAGTAATAGGGGGAAGGACGAGTTAGAGTGATTCAGAGGGGACCACTGAGGGATGGATTTCACCTACCAGGACGTGAGATTTTCATAGCTGGCGCTCGGGGCTATGGCTAAAGTGTCTGAGAAAAGAGCAATGTAGCAAAGCAACCTGATATCACTCCACTGGGAGGCCAGAGGGGCTCTCAAAGAGGACCTGGGCTCCAGGCATGCTTCCCCAGGGCGAGTGGGAGCTGCTTTCTCAGTGGGGTGAGAGGCCAGCAGGCTGGGTGGGCTGGCTGGCATGTGCCCGGGGTTCCTGTTGAGCTGGGCTTTTCTCTCCCGATAGGAAGAGGTGAAAAATTTCATCACCCGAGAGAACCTGGAGGCACGGGTGGAAGCAGCATTGGACTCCCCGAAGAACTACAACTGGGCCATCACCAGAGAGGGGCTGGTGGTCAGGTCACAACGCAGGGACTCCTAGGGGCCCAGTAAAGACAGTGCCCGCTGACGGACCATGTTGGTATTGTGGTGGAAGAGTTGGCCCTGGCCTGGAATAAAGCAGTTGGTGCTGCTTATGAGGACGGTTCAGCCTTATCCAGCACAGCCTTCACGTTTTGCCCTCTGCTGTCAACACTTGGTCAGAAACTTCCAAACACAGTGCCCTGTTCTGCCCCTGTGTACAGCCTCAGCACACCAGGAGACCCTAGAGTGGTTTCCATCTCACAGAGGATCAGACAGGACCACAGCCCCCTCAGCCTGCCAGGTCATCTGAGTATCATCAAGAGTAGTGATGGGCAAATTACAGTCTGAGGGCCAAACGTGCCTGCTTCCTGTTTTTGTAAATAAAGTTTTGTTGGAACACAGCCATACCCATTCATTGACTTCTTTTTACTACAGTGGCAGACAAGTAGTTGCAACAGACACCATATGAATTGCAAAGCCTAAAATATTTAACTTTTTTTTACAGGAAAAGTGTAGTGATCTCTCATCTGGAGTTTTAGGGCTCTAGCCTGGAGCAGATGTCACCCAGGACCTGAGCCACAAGCTAACCATTGGCCAGGGGCCTGCCTCTGCTCTACACTGGGCTTTGCTGGCCAGAGTCTGGTGTATCCAAGACCCAGAAGGCAAAGAGGAGACCGCATTTCTTCTGGGTTCCACAGAGAGGTGGTATTTTGCCTTACAGGTGATGAAGCCATGAAGAGTTAAATATTCCAGGCTAGGATTGGCAGGTGTGTGACTTAAAAGCAGGGAGACCATTAGGAATGGGTCTGTCCACCCATGGCCTCAGTGACTACATTTGCCCTGGCATTGCCAGTGCCCTTGGGCCACCCAGCAGATTGCTGCTGGCAGGGGAGACCTGGTTGACCAAGATTTTATGAGGTTAGTGTGGCTTAGCAAGCACTTGAACCAAACTCTGGGGGTACCGGGACTGCCTGTGATGATGAAGAGAGTATATAGATCCGTAATCCCGGTTCAGATGCAGGCCCTCAAGCAGTGTCTGGGATGAGCTGGAGGAATGTTTCTCAACCAGAGCAGCTTCCATTTGCTGCCATGCACATGAACTCCAGCTTCTCTCCATGACTCCCACTTTGCAGGGAAGGCCTAGGGACCCCCAAGAAATGAAAACCTTTTAGGGTATATGGGCAACTCTTATTGCAGGTGAGAAAGCAGGTAATAAGGTGCAAGCAGAGGTGGTGCCTGGCACCCAGCCCTCAGAGCACTGCACTCCTGAGAACCTTGGCCTCCCTCCTCGGGCCGGTAATAGCTCTTCTCCCCTGGCAACAACTTTAGCCAGAGCATAGTGGCATCCCTGCTTTTAAGGTGCGAGGCATCTGGAGTGAGACCTGATGGAGACACATGGTTTGACGATGTCTTCCATGGCCTCCGGCTTCGTCATGGTGAAGAGTGGACCATCTGGCCCCCTGCACTGGAAGAAGCCTTTGGTGATGTGGCACATAGGCCCGTGTTAGGAAGTCCGGTTTTATGTAACATACTCCTCCCTGGACCTCCTTGTCTCCATCTTCCAGTTTCATTCTTTCCAAGGCCTCTGTACCAGGATCCAGACACAAGCCATCTGTCTGTTCAGACAGAGGACACGCTGACCTCAAAGCTCTGTCTTTGGGCTAATTCCACTGCTGTCCAGCATGGGGCTGGAACTCAGCATTCACTGCTGATGCCGTTACGTCATGCAGAACCACCTGGAAACCAAGTGTCACGTTTTTATTCTCTACCCACAGCCACCTTGCTAGTATAGGCACCACTAGGCAGCTTATTGGTACCTTCAGGGTTAACTCAAACCCAGGGCCATTGCACCTGCTTCTAATGGAACATAGAGTGCAGCCAGGTGCGCAGATAGCCTCAGATCCCATCCAGTCCAGGTTGCAGAGTCATGTGATGCCCCAGGGTAGAATGCCTGATCTCCACAGAACCCTGGATGGTTAACCTGATGGACATGGCCTTGCCCAAAACACCAGAGTCTCTTCAGATCCTTGCCTCAAGTTCCTAGTAGGGATTGGATCTGCTACAGACAATGAGCTCTGCAGGGTTTCAAGGGGCAGAGTTGCCAGAATCATGCTGCAGCCTGGACCACCCAGAGAATGTCTTGTTCAAGACTCCACTTGTGGGTGGTAGATTTGGGGTCTACCTGGTAAATGCATTTGGAGCAGAACACCCAAAAGTAAGTGCTTTCACCAAGATGGGAGGAGGCCCACCAGGCGTTGTGGGATAGGCAGGATGGACTAGCAATTTGTGAGTGGCAAATTTTTCCTGAAGGACCCAATCAAGTATAGATGTTTTACCACGAAACTTGGGATTCTTGCCCCTTCCAGTTGTCTAGAATAAGCATGGTGTCAATGAGTGGCCCCCTGCCATGCTGTCCTGGGGATGGATGGTGTAGGTAGGTCTTGAGGATCTGGTTATGCAACACTGTAGAGTTGTTCATCTCTCAGGCTGAATCGTGAAGGTGTGCTGCTACCAGGTGAAGGCAAGCTGCTTATAGTGGTCCATGTAGGTAGGACAAGAGAAGAATGCATTTGCCCAATTAACCTGTTCCATCAAGGAGACCACCCTAGACGTCATTACACCTAAAGTCATTCCTCATATTTTCCCAGCATACTCCACATTTTCCATATGGAACAGTCACAGTTATCCAGTATTCCCTGAAATCTTTGGGAAATGTTACCTCCTGCACTTACCCTGTGGTTATTTCTCCAACTCTGACAAGTGCAGTTGACATGGACAACTAGGAAGGCCAGCTGACTCCTGAAATAAGAGCAACTTTGGCAGAAAGGGTTAAGTTTGGAATGATTTTTCCTTCCCAAATAGGAAGTCAAAAGTAATATTGCAGTCCCAAAAACCTGAAACAGGCAGGCCTAGCCATGATGCTGTCATTTCCCCTGTCGGGTGCTTTAGTGAATACTTCCTTAGCTCAGGTAAGTGCATAAACAATAGATGTGATGTATAATGAGTTTTTATAAAAGTAACACTGCCAGAGTCAGCCTCATGCTTCAGTTTACAGGACCTCAAAGTCAAGAACTTGAAGAATCCCACCATAGTGCCACAAAAGGGCCCAGGAAAGTGACATTAAAAGGTCAAAGCTGTGGCCAGGCGCAGTGGCTCACGCCTGTAATCCCAACACTTCGGGAGGCTGAGGCGGGTGAATCACGTCAGGAGTTCGAGACCAGCCTGGCCAACATGGTGAAACTGCATCTCTACTAAAAATACAAAAAATTAGCTGGGTGTGGTGGCGGGCACCTGTAATCCCAGCTGGGAGGCTGAGGCAGGAGAATCACTTGAACCCAGGAGGCAGAGATTGCAGTGAGCCGAGATTGTACCACTGCACTCCAGCCCAGGCGACAGTACGAGTCTGTCACAAAAAAAAAAAAAAAGAGCTGCATAAGCCCCAGTCTTATGCAGTACTGCACAGTGGCTCTGTGGGTCACAGAAATCCTCCCCAAATGCATTTAACCTCACTGAGAGTAAAAACACAGGTGTGAGAGATTGCAGTGAGCCGAGATTGTACCACTGCACTCCAGCCCAGGCGACAGTACGAGTCTGTTAAAAAAAAAAAAAAAAAGAGCTGCATAAGCCCCAGTCTTATGCAGTACTGCACAGTGGCTCTGTGGGTCACAGAAATCCTCCCCAAATGCATTTAACCTCACTGAGAGTAAAAACACAGGTGTGAGGTTTAAGTTCTCTGGGAAGTTGTGTTACAGTTCACATTTTTTTCTTTTTTCTTTTTTTTAATGCTGGCTACTGAGGAAGAGAAATGGTCTGGGAGTGAGGTTGTGTGGCTGGGAAATCTGAAACAGATACAAATGTCAACCATGCCTACTACACAGCCTTCTGGCACTACCAGAGTCAGTGCTCACAGGCACTGTTGCTGGCACCCCTGCTGCTGCTGCTGCTGTTGGAACTGCAGGAACGCAGGTGACCACTGCAGCTGCCAGAAATGCCCCAGAAGCGGGAAAAGTGAATTTGCCCTTCCTCTGGCCTTAAAAGTCTTTCCCCAGGCCAGGCACGGTGGCTCATGTCTGTAATCCCAGCACTTAGGGAGGCTGAGGTGGGTGGAGCACCTGGGGTCAGGAGTTCAAGATCAGCCCGGCCAACATAGTGAAACCCGTCTCTACAAAAATACAAGAATTAGCCAGGTATGATGGCGGGTGCCTGTAATCCCAGTTACTTCGGAGGCTGAGGCAGAAGAATCACTTGAACCTGGGAGGTGGAGGTGCACTCCAGCCTGGGCAACAGAGAGAGACTCCATCTCAAAAAAAAAAAAAGAAAGAAAGAAAGAAAGAAAACAGCAGTTTATGAACAGGTATTCTACGTCACTTTTAGCATTGTTTATCAGGACTGTCATTTTCTTATGTGAGACATTTGGGTTTTTTCCCTCTGAATACGTTACTACTGTGACATTTAGCCCTTAGAAAAAAAATGTTAGGCCACGTGCAGTGGTTCACACCTGTTAATCCCAACACTTTGGGAAGCTGAGGTGGGAGGATCACTTGAGCCCAGGAGTTTGAGACCAGTCTGGGAAACATAGGGAAACCTATCTCTATTTTAAAAAGATAAAAATAAAAATTAGCTGGGCATGGTGGTGTACACCTGTAGTCCTAGCTACTTGGGAGGCTGAGGTGGGAGGATGGCTTGTGCCTGGTAGGTTGAGACTGCAGTGAGCCATGATCACACCACTGGACTCCAGCCTAGGCAACACAGCGAGACCCTATCTTCAAAAAAAAAGAGGAAAAGAAAAAAAGAGTTAACAAATGTTCCATATTTCAGTTACTTCCTGACCTGGTGATATTTAAGTGTGTGTTTGTTTTTGGATGATCTTTGCAAATATATTAACTACTGTTAAGGGGAAGAGCTGCTTTGGTGACTTCAGCTGATTGAGTCACACTTCTGGGCTCTCTGGGCCCTTTTGTGAGTTTATAATAGAAATAAAATAAGACCTTATAAAAAAAATCCCCAAGAGAGATGGGAGAGTATTTAAATGGTTGCCCCATTTACTACTTCTACCCAGAAATCCATATAAATAAATCAAAAAAATAGATTTATGGTAACAAGCCTGGTGCAACCTGCTTGGGTTTGAATTTGAATCCTAGCTTCTCCCTCTTACTACTTGCATATCTTTGAGAATATTTCTTAGTCCTTCTGTGCCTCAGTTTCCTCAAAAGTAAAATAGGGATAAACAATACTAGTATCTACCTATGAGGGTATTGTGGCAATTAAATGAGAAACTGATGTAACGCTAAGCTCACTGCCTGCAACACCGTTTGTGCTCAATAGATGTTACATGTTATTATTATTATTATTTTATTTATTTATTTATTTATTTTGAGATGGAGTTGCGCTCTTGTTGCCTAGGC